CACGAGGAGATTTGGCTGCGCCGCCCTCCTGGCTTCACTGGGTCGTTCCCTCCTGGTACCCAGTGGAGCCTCCGGCGGCCGGTCTACGGTCTCCGCCAGGCGCCACGTGAATGGCACGACACACTGAGGACGACACTTGCTGCTCTTGGGTTTGCTCCGTCGACTGTTGACCCGTCGCTGTTTCTGCGCACCGACACTTCGCTGCCGCCGTTCTACATCCTCGTGTACGTCGACGACTTGGTCTTTGCCACTCCTGACACTGAGGCTCTCGCCCTGGTGAAGTCGGAGCTGCAGAAGAGACACACGTGCACAGACCTGGGTGAGTTGCGCAGTTACCTTGGCTTGTAGATCACCCGGGACAGAGCACGCCGCACCATCACACTGACTCAGTCACACATGGTGCAGCAGGTCCTTCAGCGCTTCGACTTCACCTGGTCCTCGGCACAGGCCACTCCTCTGGCTACAGGTCACTCGCTCTCAGCTCCACCTTCGGACGAATCCGTAGAGCCGAGTGGTCCTTACCCAGAGCTAGTGGGCTGCCTCATGTACCTTATGACCTGCACCCGTCCTGAACTTGCGTAACCTCTTGGCCTTCTGGCTCGCTACGTGGCTCCTGGTCGGCACCGAAAGGTGCACATGGATGCTGCTAAGAGGGTATTACGCTACTTGTGCAGTACGTCGGGCATGGGGCTCGTGCTTGGAGGACGGAGCGACGTTGTCCTCACTGGGCACTCAGACGCTTCTTGGGTTGACGACCTGGCTACGCAGTGGTCGTCACAGGGTTACACCTTCAGCCTTGGCTCTGGTTCAGTTTCTCGGCGTTCTACACGCTCGTCTTCAGTTCTCAGCTCCAGTTGTGAGGCTGAGATCTACGCCACAACCATGGCTGCACAGGAGTTACGCTGGCTCACGTACCTGCTGACCGACTTGGGAGAGCGGCCTAGTTCTCCTCCAGTGCTGTACGTCGACAACAAGGCCGCCATTGCCTTGTGTAAGGAGCACAGACTGGAGCACAGAACGAAGCACATCGCTCTGCGTTACTTCCTGGCTCGAGAGTTGCAGCAGCGTGGTCAGCTTCGTCTTGCTCACATGGCCACTCGGGCCAACACTGCTGATATATTCACCAAGGCACTTCCGTCTGGTGATCATCAACGTTTCTGCACTTTGTTAGGCCTTGTGCCCAATTTTCCTCACTTGCTGTAGACGTTGCTTGTACTGTGATCTATATATATACTGTGAAGTTTAGAACGAGAATGAAGAAGAGAGGGGGGTTTCACTAGCAAGCAGTTGAGTACATATAGCAAACCCTAAATTGGGCTGTACTCACTATTGAGTACCCCACTGCAGGCTAGACAATTATAACATTCTGACACACCCCCATAGCCAAAGTGGGGTGTCATCAGCATAATGAGCAAGCAGGCATAGAGCAGGAGTTCACAATAGCGAGCAAAGCTAGAGTTAATCACAGCGGGCAAGTGAGGAGGAGGAGGAACTGTGGAGGGAGAGAAGATGGGAGGCAACGACTGAAGCTGCAGAGGCACGGGCACAGGAGCGGCTGACTCAGTGGCTACCGAAGCAAGGGCGACGGACTACTGGAGTGACTGGCTCCGCGGCTATAGACGAGCGGCAGGAGCAACGGACCCACTGGCGACTGGTGCAACAGGCTCACTGGCTACCGAAGCAAGGGCGACGGACTACAGGCGCTGCAGGCTACAAGACAGCTACCTTCACACAACCTCCCCCAGCTGCCCCACGCCCCTCTCACACACCCCCTGCTCAAACCCTAGCTCCACTCCCACAGCACCCCCCTTAAACCCTAAACCCCAGGCTCCCACACATCCACCCCCCTCAGCGACAGCTGCAGCAGTGTGAGACAAAGGAGGAGGAGGAGGAGGGGACGGCGCACACAACCGACACCCCCACAACCGCCACCCCCACACCCCGCACCCCCAAACCCTAAAACGGGTGGGACGGGGAAGGAGCGTGGGGGACGGCGAGGGGAACGGCGCGCGGCCCCCAGGGCGCCACCACGGGGCAGCGAGGGGCCGCGCGCGGCTCCCCAGGGCGCCGCGAAGGGGCAGCGGGAGGGCGGCGACGGGACCGCAGAGGGCGGCGACGGGGCCGCTGCGGGCGGCGACGGGGCCGCGGAGGGCGGCGACGGGGCCGCTGCGGGCGGCGACGGGGCCGCTGCGGGCGGCGAAGGGGTCGCAGCGGGCGGCGACTGGGCCGCCGCGGGCGGCGACGGGGCCGCTGCGGACGGCGACGGGGCCGCTGCGGGCGGCGACGGGGCCGCTGCGGGCTGCGACGGGGCCGCTGCGGGCGGCGACGGGGCCGCTGCGGCGGCGACGGGGCCGCTGCGGGCGGCGACGGGGCCGTAGAGGGCGGCGACGGGGCCGCTGCGGGCGGCGACGGGGCCACTAAGGGCGGCGACGGGGCCGCGAAGGGGGGGGGAGGGGCTGAGTGGGGGCCGCGAAGGGCGGCGACGGGGCCGTGAAGAGCGGCAACGGGGCCGCGAAGGGCAAATCGTCGCACGCCACGGGGCGTGCGACAGATCGAGTAGCAGCGGAAGCAGGTGGGCCCACAGGCCAGGAGCGTACCCGCTCTGATAGCATGTGAGGATAGTAAGCATAGTTAGGAGCCATAGCTAGGTAAGCCCTAGCTAGGCAAGAGAAGTTTAGGGAAAAGAGGTGGTTTCACTAGCAGCAATGAGGATACATATAGCAAACCCTAGATGGGTTGTACTCGCTATAGAGCACCCCACTACAGGCTAGAGAATAACATTCTGACATATACCTGCATGCTTGCTCTGCTAGGTAGAGATCACTGTGCTGTTGGTGTTGCATATATACCTCTGCATGTGAACTGGCCTTGTGGCCCTTTGCTTGTGCTCAGTGTGTGTGGTGACGTTGTGATCCACCCTGAGCTTGCTTTGCTTCTCTTGACTGGTCTTGTGACCCCTTGCTCTCCCCCACTTTGCCTATGGGGGTGTGTCAAATATTATATATGCTATATGTGTTTAGGCTGTAGTGGGGTAGCGGGGTACAGCCCACATTAGGGTTTCATATTTGTACCCAATTCTTTCATAGTTCAATCATTCCTGCTGCTAGATTCTAACAGTATTTTCATGAGATGGCTTTGCATTTTGCCTCCACAAAGATTCATTGTCCTGTTGTCAACACCCTAGAGTTGGCTATGTATTGTGAGAGTGCAGTATTATACATTATGATGGACGTGTTTCTCTAGTCATTCTCATGGTTTTTGCTTTTGGGTTTGATTGATCTATCACTATGTGTGCGAGAGACTAAACGTTTCTATTGATTGCCTTTCCACACTGCCATGAATTCTGATTGCTGTATTCTTTTTGTCAATTACCAAATGCTCTAGTTCTGGTTTTCCTGACTTATAGCATCCATGTTGCTGGGTGTACTGTTAATTCGTGTTGTAAACTGATGTGTAATTTCGAGGGTGTTTTTACTCGGTTTAAACCCTCTATTGCACGACGATAGTTTCGAGGGGCTGAATTCGAGGGCATCGGCATAGTACAACAACTTACTTGGAATGTGTAAGAACTGGCCGAGTACCACCTCGATCTAAGTTCGCGCAGGTGAGTTGGGGTACGATTTCGTAACGACACAAGCTACACATAATACACGTTCGGATTACGCCCTCCGAAATGGGCAGTGGGCTTCAAAATTTCTAGGTATAAATATCAGAGAGAGGTCATTTATTCATTTTGCACCCCCTCATTCACTTTGCCTTGTTCTTCTCTCCAGTTCTGCGACTCAACTTCCCCATTTCTGTTCTGATGGAGCCCTCGATGGAGCTCAAGGGGGCTGGTCTGCGTGTGCGGCTGTCGCGTTTAGAGTTTGGAAACATTCGCGACCAGGTTGATGAGTGGTCCGAGAACATCCTCAACTTCGTGTTGCTGTAAGCTGTGGTCGAACGACATTCGCTGTAATAGATGTTGACAGTTCAAATAAATAGTGTCTCAAAATTGTAGCCCGAGTTAGAGCTCCATCAGCTAATCATGTTAAATACTCTGTTTAGTGTGTCTGTGTTAGAGAAATGTCCTAATTGTAGCCCAAGTTAGAGCTCCAACCGCTAATCATGTTAAATACTCTGTTTAGTGTGTCTGTTTTAGAGAAATGTCCTTCGCATCCGTACTCTGTAGCGATAGGCTCTTTGCCTAGCATGTGTGCTCCGCAGGATTCATTAACTATCGAGTTTATGTTCCTCTACCAATGTGTTAGCTGAATCGAGCGTTTGTCTACACATGATGGGCAGGATGCTTGCAAAAAAAAGACTGACCGCGGAGCAGCTTTTGAAGGTCGAAATTGTCCCCATGAATAAGGTCAACGTCGCTAGGGTGAAAGTCCCTGTGGAACCTATGGGTCCTGACAGACTTACTGGTCTCCTTGGCAAGCAGCTCTGCGTATTCCCGCTGTGGTCCAGGTGAGTTCGAGTTTCGAAACGTTCTTTCGAAAACGTTGTTTCTCATAAAGTTACTCGTTTGTTCGATATCGAGTTCTGTATGTCTATCATTTCGCCCCACCACCCCTTACATTATCAGTGCCGACCCTCGGGCGCACTGTAGCCTCTTTCTTCTGGTACGCCCCGACAGTCTGTGGGACAAACCGAAGTCACCGGTTCAGACGCGTCTCATGCGTTTCGACCCGAAAGCGTGTTCTCCGACACACAAGCACGCTGTTCTCGCCCAAGAGATTGTCCAGTGGGTATCCGTATTTTATGGTTCATCTGTGCGTGTTGCCGACTTATACGGCGCTGATTGAATTCGTCGAAACAACACGTTTTTCGCAGGTGGCTGGAGTTGCAGCTCTTGATGGAGTACTCAAGAGGGCAAGCGCTCTCGCCCTCAGAAGGGGAGACGAAGGAAGTTTTTCGAAACATTCGTGCCCGCATCAAAAGCGGGTGGAAGCTCGACAAAACGGCGGTAAGTTAACTGTACGAATCTTGAGACTGGTTCTTTCGGAAACGGACAGATGCTTACGCGATTCCACATCCATTTCGTGCAGAAGCTAACTCAGGCAGTCGGCCAGAGGGAGGTTGGTGCAGGCCTTCACGTGGCCTATCAGTGGTGCAAGATACTGGATCATTTTGACAAGATTCTGACAAGAGACGAGAAATTCCTCGTCATGGGAACCCCACATTACCGTCGAGAGCATGTTCTGGCGGAGATACTCAAAGACTGTGGTACATATTTCGCCAAAGTAGAACGTGGTGAAATTGCTGGAGAGGAAGAGAAGGTGGACAACTTGGACCATCATGGGCCTGTCGCAGAGGACACAGGTCCCCCGCCAGAGATTGATGCGGAAATAGTCGCTGTGGGTGCGCTGATTGCTGACGGCGTTCGAATTGGTCTGGCCAACGAGCGACAGAGCGTCGCGGATGGGGAGCGTCAGCTGAATGATACAGAGGAACCACCCGCTCAGGAGGAGAGTGCGCGCGAAATCTTGCGTGGAATGAGGGAGACGCAGCAGAGGGCAGCAAAGGAGGCCATCCAGCAGAGGGGGGAGAAGGAGATGATAGAAGATCAGATGATGGAGGAGCTTGCAACTGCTTTACAGGCAGTGCATCTCTCCGTCGAGAATGCTCAACACGAACAGTGTCAGGGTTTGGAAGACGGACAGGAAAGTCTGAATGTCGTAGGCGAATTGGAGGAAGAGGTGCAGAGGTCGGAACTGGAGACTAGGGTGGTGTATCAGAGACGGGAGGCACGAACAAAGAAGAGGTATGATCTGGGGCGGGAGGAGCGTCCTCGGGAGGAGGAAGATCATGAGAGGGAGGAAGAGAGGAAGATGGAGCGCGAAAAGGAGGAGAAGCGGCAGGAGGAAGAGCGGCAGAGGGAGGATGAGAGGAAGTCGGAGCGCGAAAAGCTGGAGAAGTGGCAGAGGGAGGAGGAAGAGCGGAAGGAGGAGGAGAAGAAGGTGGAGCGCGAAAAGGAGGAGAAGCGACAGCGCGAGGAAGAAGAGCAGAAGAGGGAGGAGGAAAAGAAGGTGGAGCGCGAAAAGGAGGAGAAGCGGCAGAGGGAGGAGGAAGCGCGGAAGAGGGAGGAGGAACAGGTTGAGCGCGAAAAAGAGGAGAATCGGCAGAGGGAGGAGAAAGAGCGGCAGAGGGAGGATGAGAGAAAGGCGGAGTGCGAAAAGAAGGAGAAGCGGCGGTGGGAGGACAAAGAGCGGAAGGAGGAGGAAAAGAAGGTGAAGCGCGAAAAGGAGGAGAAGCGGCAGCGGGAGGAGGAAGAGCAGAAAAGGGAGGAGGAAAAAAAGGTGGAGCGCGAAAAGGAGGAGAAGCGGCAGAGGGAGGAGGAAGCGCGGAAGAGGGAGGAGGAACAGGTTGAGCGCGAAAAAGAGGAGACTCGGCAGAGGGAGGAGAAAGAGCGGCAGAGGGAGGATGAGAGAAAGGCGGAGCGCGAAAAGGAGGAGAAGAGGCGGAGGGAGGAGGAAGAGCGGAAGGAGGAGGAAAAGAAGGTGGAGCGCGAAAAGGAGGAGAAGCGGCAGCGGGAGGAGGAAGAGCAGAAAAGGGAGGAGGAAAAAAAGGGGGAGTGCGAAAAGGAGGAGAAGTGGCAGAGGGAGGAGGAAGCGCGGAAGAGGGAGGAGGAACAGGTTGAGCGCGAAAAAGAGGAGACTTGGCAGAGGGAGGAGAAAGAGCGGCAGAGGGAGGATGAGAGAAAGGCGGAGCGCGAAAAGGAGGAGAAGCGGCGGAGGGAGGAGGAAGAGCGGAAGGAGGAGGAAAAGAAGGTGGAGCGCGAAAAGGAGGAGAAGCGGCAGCGGGAGGAGGAAGAGTAGAAAAGGGAGGAGGAAAAAAAGGTGGAGCGCGAAAAGGAGGAGAAGCGGCAGAGGGAGGAGGAAGCGCGGAAGAGGGAGGAGGAACAGGTTGAGCGCGAAAAAGAGGAGACTCGGCAGAGGGAGGAGAAAGAGCGGCAGAGGGAGGATGAGAGAAAGGCGGAGCGCGAAAAGGAGGAGAAGCAGCGGAGGGAGGAGGAAGAGCGGAAGGAGGAGGAAAAGAAGGTGGAGCGCGAAAAGGAGGAGAAGCGGCAGCGGGAGGCAGAAGAGCAAAAAAGGGAGGAGGAAAAAAAGGTGGAGCGCGAAAAGGAGGAGAAGCGGCAGAGGGAGGAGGAAGCGCGGAAGAGGGAGGAGGAACAGGTTGAGCGCGAAAAAGAGGAGACTTGGCAGAGGGAGGAGAAAGAGCGGCAGAGGGAGGATGAGAGAAAGGCGGAGCGCGAAAAGGAGGAGAAGCGGCGGAGGGAGGAGGAAGAGCGGAAGGAGGAGGAAAAGAAGGTGGAGCACGAAAAGGAGGAGAAGCGGCAGCGGGAGGAGGAAGAGCAGAAAAGGGAGGAGGAAAAAAAGGTGGAGCGCGAAAAGGAGGAGAAGCGGCAGAGGGAGGAGGAAGCGCGGAAGAGGGAGGAGGAACAGGTTGAGCGCGAAAAAGAGGAGACTCGGCAGAGGGAGGAGAAAGAGCGGTAGAGGGAGGATGAGAGAAAGGCGGAGCGCGAAAAGGAGGAGAAGCAGCGGAGGGAGGAGGAAGAGCGGAAGGAGGAGGAAAAGAAGGTGGAGCGCGAAAAGGAGGAGAAGCGGCAGCGGGAGGCAGAAGAGCAAAAAAGGGAGGAGGAAAAAAAGGTGGAGCGCGAAAAGGAGGAGAAGCGGCAGAGGGAAGAGGAAGCGCGGAAGAGGGAGGAGGAACAGGTTGAGCGCAAAAAAGAGGAGACTCGGCAGAGGGAGGAGAAAGAGCGGCAGAGGGAGGATGAAGAGCGAAAAAAGGAAGAAGAAAAAAAGGCCGAGCGCGAAAAAGGAGACTTGCAGCAGCGGGAGGAGGAAGAGCGGAAGCGGGAGGAGGAGAGGAAGGAGGAGCGCGAAAAAAAGGAGAAGCGGCTTAGGGAGGGGGAACCGGAGCGGAAGAGGCTGGAGGTCGAGGATCGACAGGCGCGCGAAAAGGAAACAAGGGAAAATGGGGAGCGGGAGCGTAAGAGGCTGGAGGCCAGGGAGCGGAAAGGGCGAGAAGAGCCGAGTGAAGGGGAGCGAGAGCGACAGAGGGTGGAGGCCGGTGAGCGAGAACCGCGCGAAAGGGAGGAGGCTCGGCAGGGGCAGGAACGGGAATGGAAGAGAGCCGAAAGCGAACGCCGAAAGCTTGAGCTTCTCAGTATAGAGCGCGAAAGGCAAGTTGCAAGACAGATGGGTGCAGCCGAGGAGAATCACGGTCTGGAGCGTCTGAGTGATCGACGGGAGGAAAACGATCGGCGTGTGAATGGGGGCGCTCTGAAGAGGCACAAAAGGCAGAGAGAGGTTGCTGGGTTGGGTGAACAAGGTGCTGGAGGGCAGCGACGTGGTGATGGAACTCGTCACACGAACGAGGCCTACAGGGGCGCGAGGGTCTTTCAAGCGCAGATGGGGTGACCTGCCGGGGAAGGAGCTCCACCAGGGGTGATAGGCGACCAGACAATCGAGGGCCAGCAGGGGACAACGCTTCGTAGGGCAACGGATTTGGGACTGAGACAGGGCATCCAGCAGAAAGGTGGCCGGCGTGATGATCAAACAGGACAGAACAGGGTTGGCGAGGGAGACCGTAGGAGGCTCGAGCAGTCAAGGCAAGCTCGTCGGCGAGAGGGTGAAGCGCGGTTAATACCGCAGGGGGAGAGAGTTGCGGAGGAGCATGTCTGGCGTGGGGTGGGATTTGGAGTAGAGGAAGCGCACCGAAGGGAGAATCAGCTGAGGCATGTGGGTGGACGGGTGGAAGAGGAGCAGGAGAGTGCGGCTAGTGCGCTTCCTATTCAGAGGAGTCGTCCACGTGCGGCAGAGAATCCTGCTGCGGGGCAGGGTGAGAAACTGGAGGAGGGTGAATGGGTGGCCTTGGAGACGCAACTACAGGAACAGGAGAAAGCTGGGCCCCAGGTTTTCGAGGAGACAGCAGGTGGATTTGAGGAGGCCGGAGACCGTATCGCAGCTAGCGGCAGGATGCATACCAGACGGGAGTTAATGCGGCGTCTGACATTGGTGGCGAGGTCAGTGGCCAGGATTTCGTCAGAACAAGGTGTTCGCTTCAGCGACTGCATGGCCGAGATTCGCCAGTTTGGTGCGCGGATGCAAGGATGGGAATTGCGATACTTGCAGGACTACGATGATTTGACACACGAGTACCTCGTGCTAAGGGATTCTGTTGTCCAAGAGCGCCAGGAGCTTCGCGAAATCCGTTCTGCTCTGTCGACGTCTACGGCCGAGGCACGAGCGGCAGCAGCTGATGGTGGTCGAGCAGCTGCAACGGCGGTTGTAGAAGCATTGCAGGATACGGCCGAGGCACGAGCGACAGCAGTTGATGCTGGTCGAGCAGCTGCAACGGCGGTTGTAGAAGCATTGCAGGAAAAGCTCAAGGGGTTTTCCGAGGCGTTTCTGGAAAGGCTGAAGGGTGTTGTGGCGCAGGCGGTAGAGCAAGCGTCAAAAGGGGGGAAGCTCGAGGCCACGATCGCACCCGTCTCCACATAATTCCTGGTAAAGACTATTGAGAATAGCGTTTACACGGTGTGGGAGGATCTCAGAGTTACGGAAGACCAAAACTCGCGGATTTTCAAGGCTCTTGCAGGATTGGCAGCAAGGCTCCGTGGGCGGACTAGACCCATCAACGTCGGAAATCCACACGCCGCGAGACCAGATGCCACAAAGCTCAAAGGGCGGACTGGAGCCATCATCGTCGGAAATCCTCTCACTGTGGTACCTGATGCCACCAAGCTCAACGGGAGGACTGGACCCATCAACGTCGGAAATCCTATCGCAGCCAGACCAGATGCCACAAAGATCAAAGAGCGGACTGGAGCCATCAACTTCTGAAATCCTCTCGCCGCCAGACCAGCCGGAACAAAGCTCGATTGGCGGACTGGACCCATCAACGTCAATCCACACGCCGCCAGACCAGATGCCACGCCAAACTCTTCGCGACCGCAGGCCGAAGCCGACTCACCGGACATCCCTATCGCCGTTGCACAAAAAGTCATGGAAAGGTTTGTTGCGACTCCCGAGGACGAGGGGGGTGAGGCGGGTGAGGTGGGCGCTGGTGTGGCAGATGTTGACTTGTCTGGGCCGATGAGAAGAGACTGGAGAGAGACGTTTGCGGCGAAGGAGTTGCAGAAAGAGAAGGAGAAGGAGAGGCTGGAGAAAATGGCGGCCAAAACGCGGAAGCGGACTGCATTTCAGAGGGCAAGGATGGTGGGAAATGCTATGGTGGAGGCACAGCGTTTGGGGAACCAGCGCGAATCGGGTAAGAAGCGGCAGAGGGGTGAGGATGAGGGTAGAAGGCTAGAGGAGAGGCGGGTGCAGCGCGAAAGGGAGGAGAAGCAGCGGAGGGAGGAGGGACAGCGGAAGAGGGAGGAGGAAAAGGCAGAGCGCGAAAAGGAGGAGAAGCGGCAGATGGAGGAGGAAAAGAGGAAGAGGGACGAGGAGCAAGCGGTCGAGCGCGAAAAAGAAGAGAAGCGCCAGAGGCAAGAGGAAGAGCGGAAGAGGGAGGAGGAAAGATTGCAGCGTGAAAATAAAGAGAGGAAGCAGAGGGAAGAGGATGAGCGGAAGCGGGAGGAAAGGCGGGTCGAGCGCGAACGCGAGGAGAAGCAAAAGAGGGAGGAGCACGCAAAGGCAGTGAAGATGCGGGCACAATTGGAGGCAGAGTTAGAGGCAAAGCGTGAGCGGATAGCAAAGCTCGCTGAAGCGAAGCGGTTGGAGGCCAAAAGGAAAAAAAAAAAGGCCTCAAAATAGAGCGTCAGAAAGCGCAGAAGGAGATGGAGCGTATTGCACGGCTGGAGGCAGCCGCAAAGGAGGAAGATGAGATGCAACAAAAGGAGTTAGATGCAGAGACGGAGAAAATGGAAAAGGAAAGGCGACGAATTGCGGGGGAGAACGTGGAGGCGCCGGCGGAGCAAAGGCAGGGAGAAGATGCGGAAGGTGTAGTGTGTGTCGGGACTCTAAATGTGATTAGCATGGTTCCGGAAGAACCTCTGCAAGTAGTGGACCTGGAGGAGGAGCAAGATGATTCAGTATATATGACACGGAGGGGTGGGGCTGGTGCCGGCCCCCTTAAGTGTCAGTTCCGCGGTCTATGCAGCGGGAGTGGCTGCAACCCTCTATACCCTGTGGTGTGCCTCGATCGGCATTCCCCACCAAGACTGGGCGGAGGGTGCGGATAAGGCGGCTCGTGGCATGCTTAACGAGGGAAGCCTTGCGTTTCGAGCAACCTCAATTGCTCGGCTCGGAGTGTGGGCTTTAAAATCGGTCAAGAACCAAACGCACGAAAAGGCAGACTGGGAAGTGGTGCTCACCAAGGCTATTCTCAACCTTGTGGATCCCGAGCCTAGGAAGACAGAGGCTATTGAAATGGCGAAAGTGGTTTCGAGGGTGCTTGTGTACTGGTGCGAGTGCTGTCTTGTAGCACAAAGCCTTTACGCGTATCAAAGTGGGATGCTCCATTTTCCCCAACCCACGAAAGGGGGACGATGGAAGGCGAATGCGGCAGGCAACGAGTGATGCAGGGGGCGATAGGGCAATTTCGAGTTTCCTTCTGCTCTGTACCATTTTCTGTTGTCTGGTTTCTTTTCCGGTAATAATTTGCCAGCCTGTACTTACGTTCTTGTACTTATCCTAAGAATGTCGGCTATCCAACTATGAGACAGAGGAACAATCAATGCTCTAGGAAACATGTCGCGCTCAACGGAACATTTCGCACAGCACACCCAATCAGACCCCCCGCTTATTCTAGTGTGAGACCCATACGTGGATTCGAATTCGGTTCCTCATTTCTTACTTCAGTACGCCCTAAAGGGGTCTCATATTCCACGTGTTTGTTCCTCGTTAAAAAAGGGTCTACGACACACACACCACGCAGCATGTTATTAGCACAAAGCAGAAACGTATATGCGCAAAGCAGTGAACCTCGAAGATCTACAACCCACACCACGCAACATGTTAAAAGCACAACAAGATAGACAAAACCTATTGTCCAGCTACTGACGTGAAACATTGACTCCAACCACAAAGTTACGCCTCCTCATCAGAAATCTCCTCAATGTCGTCATCCTTCGCAAAAGTTTTCTTGACGCGAGGACGCGAAATCTCGCGTTTCTGGGCTTTGGTGCGATCCTCGCCACACTCCAAGAACATCCCATCTCCCTTCATCTTTGCAGCTGCCTCCGGATCGTAACACCATGTCATCACCACATCGACAATCTTGTAGACGAGCGGTCCGATACTCTTATTGCCCGCTCCCGCGAAACTTTCCAGCACAAGCTTCTCAACGGCTGCTGCATTGTGGCTCTTTTTCACATGGACGCGAAAGTTCTTCCACGCGGCTACAATGATTGTGACGTTCAGGTCGGTTGCTCCTGCCTTCTTTGCAGCCCGTTTCGCTTCCGTGTCGGCGATGGCGCCATCACGGCCCTTCGAAACCAGCCACATGTACGTGACTACAAACACCACGGCACCGGCAAGAGCTCCTTCCAGAACTTTGGATTTCGCGTAACTTGTGTCCAAAGCCACCTCAAGCCCCAACGCAACTGAGGCAGCCACCTCGTCATTCAGGTTATCCGGTCCATCCTTCACGTTCCTAAAGCGCGAAAACATGATTTCGATCCTGCCATGAAAATTAACAGCGGAAATTACATAAGTGAACACACCACGCGGAAGCCCGAACTTCGTGAACTAACTTGCAAAACCCACCTGCTGCCGCCGGTGCAGATTCCGCAAAGGTACATAACAGCGAGCACTCCTGGATGCAGAAGTCGCGCAACATCCAAATCCGCGGTCCACTTCTCCTCTTCCTCATTGGTCAGAACCATCTTGTCACTTGGAACCTTCTTGTGCCACACGGTCTGTACCACTGCGGCCGTGTATCGCGCGGTGGCGAGAGCGGAGAAGCTTCCAAAGTACAAGCGCAAGTTCTGATAGTGCAACTCCAGCGTCCAACCCGTCCCTTTCACGTTTGCCCTTATGCCAACCCCAAGATCCTTCTCCTTTGGGCCGACCTTTGCAACCCCCTTCCCACCACGGAGTTTAGCAAGCAACGCCTGGGTTGCCTTCGTGGCTTCGATCTCGTCCGGATCCTCGACCTCCAGCACCTCCACACCACCCTTACCAGCCGCGAACTGCGACCACCCGTGCTGTACTTCGCTAGCATCTTTTGAAGAGCCCCCCACGTTTCCGGTTGGTGGCTGATGGGGGACATCTGGGGCGGAATTCGACTTAGCTTTTTTCGCGGATGGTGTGGTTCCCTTTGCTGCATTGACGGCCGCGCTTCGCTTCGCGCCCTTTTCATCTGCAGCTGCCGCTTCCCCAGACTCCTTACCCACTCGCCAGTCTTGTCTCGAAACCAGCAATCCGGCTTCTTTCCTTTCACCTGCGATAGCCATTCCTTTCTCCATCCCAGTTGCTGCTAGCGTAGAAAATTCGCGTTGCGAAACCAGCGACATGAGGGAAGAGGCCGCTTCGGCCAACTTCAACACCGCGGGCTCCGACGACTCGCGCTGCGCAGCCGCGGAGGAACGTACAGTCCGCACTTCGTGCACTGCATCGGCGAGATCCTTGGCAGCACGTCTCTCCATGTCTTCCAATCTGCGAAACTTCCCAACACATTTCTCGGCAAAATCTGTCAATGCTGCATTCTGATCTTCTGTCTTCGCCAGAAGTTCGCGGATTTTTTTCCGCTGAACCAAAAGATCGTGTCGCGTGTCAGTCAGGTCTCGCTGAGAATTCTTGAGAGCATAGTCGAGGCGGACGACCTCGTGCGCGAGCGTGTGCACAGGCCACATTAATAGCTCGTCCAACGACCGCCGCTGCACGTTCGCACGCTCGGACCGAAGACCAAGTCGCCTCGTTGCCGCCAATCCGCGAAACTGCGGACCCCGACCTGCATCGGGTACCGCGACACCAAATTTCGTGTTGCATTTGTGCCCTTCGGCCTGTCCCCACGCACCACGATACGCTCCCTCGGCTTCGCCTCCACCCTCGCCTCCGCCCTCGCCTTCGTCCTCCTCCTCGTCGTGCCACGCGCCCTTTTCGTCCCCACCATCATGGCCCTCCCACTCGTTTTCGTAATCCTCGTTTTCGCCATCGTTTTCGCCCTCATCCTCGCCATCGCCATCCTCCTCGCGCTCGCCATCCCCCGCCGCCTCGCGCTCGCCCTCGCCCACCCCCACGCCCTTGCACGCGCCAATATTCTTGCCCTCCTCCTCGCCGTCGGCCTCACCCTCGCCCTTGCCTGCGTTCGTGGCTCCCGCAACCCCGGCTCGCTTCTGTGCGACCTCCGCTAGCCTACCGTGGCCGCGTGAACCGACAGCTTCGCGGTTGAGCATGTCAATAGCGATGTCCTGAGCGTGCCTCAAAATCTTATCGTGCAAAGGTTTCAAAGCCTTTACGGACGCAGCACGAACGGTTTCCCCAGGAGATTTCGTAATCGCCTCGAATTCAGAGAGGATGCGCGAAAACCCGTACACAGCCTGTAGTCCGAATCCTGCCTTCACCTTGTCCAAGGAGCTGAGATCTTGAACGCGAAAGTCGTAAACACGGGCATGGTTAGGATAAAGTGGTTAATGGTGCGGTGGGAAATTTAGGGCGCCAACGTACCATATACTCGCGCTTCAAACGTCGCGTGCGTTCACATGCAAATTCAAGGCTCAGCTAGTCGTCGGTCTCATGGTATTTCTCGACACTTTTCTTAAGCCATCTGCAAGCACATCCACAGAACCGGAGTTCAGACACAACAATAAAGCATACGAAATCGCCACGACAAGGAAGCGAGTCTTACTCGACGATGTTCGTAGCCTGCAACCTCTGCGGGTCCGGGCCCACGCAAGGGTCGATGAGGATGATTCGCGTGCTTGATTCCTTGTTCCTTTCGCACTGCAACTGATTTGGCCCCAAAATAACGAGGATGCTGCAAACCGTGATACCATTTTCTTCGCTGCACATGGCACGCAAGATGGGAGTCAGCCGAGGGTACATCTAATGCAAAGAGCTAAAGCGGATAATGCTTACGTTGCCCACAAAGGGAAAACAACGAGATCCATGTTCAGCATGTTTGAGATTTCCGCGTTCGGGACCATGTGTTGTTTCGTGCAGTCCGTAGCCAACAAGCAGCCCTGCACCCCCGTTGTGACAATTCGTGTAGACTTCTCGCGGTCGCCCCCTTGTTTGGCCAGCACGAACCTGCATAATACACACAGTTTTACCTCCATTAGCAACATGAAAAATGTAGCTCTTTCAAAAGACCACGAAAAATGATAAATGCGGTCGGAAGACAATGTCGGTAACAAATACGTACATGCATGCAAAATCCAGTGCTGCGGCGGTGTATTCAAGGTTCTCATCCGTAAGACTCCGCTTGTCCTGTTCGACTAGCACAACGGTGGCTCCGCCCGCTTCCATGGTGACGTCGACTTTCTTGAGGCTCAGCATGCGGTCGAAAAGCGTGCGCCTTTCACGTGACATCCTGTGTCTAAGTGGAATCAGCAAACGCGAAAACACGAAAAGACCGCGAAAACACCTTAAGAACCCCAAGCACGAAGAACAGGATTGAGAGTAAGTGCCGCAAAACTTGAGCTACTACTAACACCACCGGTTCTCAGACGAGATTCGCACTTTTTGGATGTTGAAATTGCTGACACAAAACAGAGGGATAGTACGTGGAGCGCAAACGAAGCTGCTACTAACACCACTCTAATTCTCGGATGTGCCTCCCGCGATGCGTGAATATAAATTGTTCGACACAC